TTAAAATTTTGCATTGTTTTGTATTTCTATTACTATATCTGTAGATTTTTATGGAATATACTGAATTGACTTGCATATTAACTACTAAAGTGGTGGGCCTATTTGGCCTTACCTCCCTTTTTTATGTAGTATCTTTTTTGTTATGAGGGCGTAACCTTAAAAATCTTATGGTTAGTCAGTGGTCTATTACTAAAAATCCCTATTTAAAAAAGGAGGAGAAGGTGAAAAAGAGAGGGGTTGCACTCTTTTGTAGTTCTTAGTTTTAAACTTTAGTGGTGTTACATTATCCTGAGTGCTTTGACAGAACAGTTGGGCCCCAACTTGCTGGCTAGCAGAAGAGAATATATTACAGAGTGATGAACTGCTGGAGTGGGTAACTCTCCTTTGCTAGGATTGCCCCTAGCATGGGGTTTAGAAGTTGCTCTCTACACACTTTGCTTGCTTGTACAGCATATTTATTTCTATTGAATGCTATGGCATTACTGTTGTTCATGTCACTTTTGGCACATACATCTGCAATAAATATTCACCACCCAGCCAGGTGTGTCAGAGTGCTTGGTGCTATTTTCAGAGTCAGGGGAACAAGAATGTGGGACCCAATACATCCAGAGGCTCCTACAACATTTACCTGAATGCAGGGTTTTGGCTGGGGATGAACTGATACATGTGGATAGGTCTAGCTTTTATCCATGATCCCTCAAAGTCTGCATTTATTGGACATTCGTTTAAATATTAAATCAAGAGAATCTGCAGTTCTCCATTGTTTGATTCTCCTGAAATACTGATTCCAAATGAATTCCCAGATGTTTGATGATGCACTGAAAGTAGGTTATATGGTTGTCAATGTCATAGTTCCAGTGCGCTCCGGTTGCAGAAAAAAAGTAGAACAGGCTGCATTTTCCTTGCACAGAACTGCACTGAAACGCAGTAAAACATATCAAAGACACACCAGAACACATTGGAACACACCAAAATGCATCAAAAACACATTGGAACACACATGTCCCTATTAAATTGATGAAATAGGTGAAAAAATTAACTGGAAAGCAATAAACATGCACCGTAATGCGTCAAAATCTCATCAAAAATGCACCGCAATGCATCAAAAACGCGCATGCAGAAATGCATCCGGGACGCATCTGGACTGCATTTCTATGGTGTAAACCGGCCCTTAGGGCTAGTATACATTAGATACAGGCCAGTGTGTTTTTTTTCTGCATCAAAAATGCATGCAGTGTTTTCCATGTATTTCAATGGCCCTAGTTCACACCAGTGCAGTCAGTTCCAGTCAGTTTCCGGTGCAGAAAAAAAAGGAGAACATGCTGCAATTTTTCTGCATGGAACAGTACTGGAACATAGTAAACTGAATCTAAACTGCACCGGAACAGAGTGTAGTGTGAACTGTAAGCAAAAACGTATCCGGAATGCATCCAGAGTGCAATTTTGTGGTGTGAACTGGCCCTTAGTAAATCAACCCCAAAGTGTTTCAGGGGCAACACCACACACTCTTCACCAGGGCTCAGCACAGGATGAAACTTGGAGGGACTCAGTGACTTCACCGATTTCTGTTGGAACCAGTACTGAACTCCCTAGATGACAGGGGCAGCACAGTGGCTAAATGGTTAGCACTTCCGCCAGGCAGTACTAGTGTTGTTGGTTCGATTCCAAGCCACGGCACAACCTGCCTGGAGTTTGTATGTTCTCCCTGTGCCTGTGTGGGTTTCCTTTCCTCCCACACTCCAAAGACATGTTGGTAGGTTAATTGGCTCCAGTCTAAATTGGCCCTGGTATGTGTATGTATGAATGTGAGTTAGGGACCTTAGATTTTACGCCCCTTGAGGATTAGGGACTGATGTGAATGTACAATATATATATGTACAGCGCTGTGTAAATTGATAGAGCTATATAAATACCTGTAATAAATAAATAATGACATAACAACTTGGCAGCACCAGCAGCTGAAAGAGCCGTGGCTGCCTGAAATATATGAAGATTCTTCTCTGCTAGATAGGAGGGATTGAGGGATTTCCATTGATAAAATCCAAGCCATCTATGCCTGCCTTTAGTAGCTATTCCAATGTTTGCTGATCAAATACACCTGGGGAGATTTATGGTTCATCCAAATACATAGCTTCCAACTATCTCTTATTTGGAGGAACCATCCCCCTATCCTCAAATGTCCCATTTTTGTGATCTGATGCATAGACCTCTATTAAAAAATGTACTGTTTAACTACAAAAAGTGTTGGGGCTGATTCACACTTAAAGTGGTTGTAAACTTTAGACATTAAATATGAACAAAGAATATCCTCTATAAGAGTCTTAAGTGTCATTTGTGTCTACTACTTAATTCCTCTACTATCAGCATGAGTCGCTTCTGAGAAGTTTTCCTGACTCCAAGAGAAAAATGGCGACAGGGTAGTGACATCCAGCAGGTTGACACCCTCAACTCTTTTCCTGTGTGCTGTGTGAAGGGGACGTGTCCCTTCCCTCCAATCAGCAATCAGAACTCTACTCACTGAGCTCTGAAAAGTGTAACTTCAACTCCCCACCCCCTTTTTTCTGACAACTCAGAGAAGCTTTATAAATTCTGCACTTTGAACAGCTTTAGAGAAGAGAAGACTACAGATAGACAGGCACAACATATGTAGGAGGATTTGTTTCATCTCTGTGTATCACCAATCACTTTACGGGGTATATGGAAGGGTTTACAACCACTTTAAGCATTTTGTTTTTGAGCATTTACAGCACCAACTAAAGTACATTGTACTAAGGCAGCCCATTCATTATTAATGGACTACCAGTGCACTGCAACAGATGAAAAGACTTACATGACCTTTTTTTTTGCAAAGCAGCATACCAAAATGCATGGTATGTACAGTTGTGTTCAGAATAATAGCAGTGTATTGAAAAAGGTGAATAAAGCTCAAAATCCTTCTAATAGCTTTTATTTCCATACACACAAATGCATTGGGAACACTACACATTCTATTCCAAATCAATACATGAAGAAAAATATATCAAATTTGTGTTTTTCCTCTAAAAAAATTGAAGAAAAGTGAATATTAGACTGTTCAAAAATAGCAGTGTTTGTATTCTTCTTTACAAACTCAAACATTCACTATATAAACTGAAAAATGTTTGAAGTTTTTGCTTTCCTTTGAATCACTTAATGAATATTTCGTTGTATAAGCACTGTTTCTGAGAACTGCTGTACATCTGTGTTGCATGGAGTCAACCAACTTCTGGCACCTGTGAACAGGTATTCCAGCCCAGGATGATTGGACTACATTCCACAGTTCTTCTCTATGTCTTGGTTTTGCCTCAGAAACTGCATTTTTGATGTCACCCCACAAGTTTTCTATTGGATTAAGATCCAGGGATTGGGCTGGCCACTCCATAACGTCAATCTTGTTGGTCTGGAACCAAGATGTTGCACATTTACTGGGGTGTTTGGGGTCGTTGTCTTGTTGGAACACCCATTTCAAGGGCATTTCCTCTTCAGCATAAGGCAGCATGACCTCTTCAAGTATTCTGATGTATTCAAACTGATCCATGATCCCTGGTATGCGATAAATAGGCCCAACACCGTAGTATGAGAAACATCCCCATATCATGATGCTTGCGCAACCATGCTTCACTGTCTTCACAGTGTACTGTGGTTTGAATTCAGTGTTTGGGGGTCGTCTGACAAACTGTCTCCGGCCACTAGACCCAAAAAGAACAATCTTACTTTCATCAGTCCACAAAATGTTGCACCATTTCTCCTTAGGCCAGTCAATGTGCTCTTTGGCACGTCTTTTTTTCAACAGTGGGACTTTGCGGGGGCTTCTTGCAGATAGCTTGGCTTCACATAGGCGTCTTCTAATTGTAACAGTACTCACAGGTAACTTTAGACCTTCTTTGATCTTCCTGGAGCTGATTGTTGGCTGAGTCCTTGCCATTCTTCTATCCATTCGAATGGTACGTCCACGTCTTTCAGGTTTTGGTTGCCATTTTAAAGCATTTGCGATCATTTTAGCTGAGCAGCCTATCATTTTCTGCACTTCTTTATATGTTTTCCCCTCTCCAATCAACTTTTTAATCAAGGTACGCTGTTCTTCTGAACAATGTCTGCAACGACCCATTTTCCTCAGAATTTCAGAGAGAAATGCACTGTAACCAGCATGTACAACATTTGCTGCCTTCCTTCCTTAAATAAGGGCAATAATTGTCACCTGTTTTTCAAAGAATGAATGACCTCACTAATAGAACTCCACACTGCTATTATTTTGAACATGCCCCTTTCAATTAGTGATTCAATTACACAGAATCAGCAGCATGCATGTCATGACTGTTGGGTCTGTTGGATTTCTATTACTCTACTAAACCTGATAGTATATTATTTGCCATGTAGAAATATCATTTCTACCAAAAACAGTGATTGATCAGGTTAGTGATGTCTGACTGCTATTATTTTGAACACAACTGTACATTGATTTGCACTGCAGTGTTTTGCTCTCTACTGTAGAATGTCACCCTACATAAAGCAGGTGAATTTCTGCAATGTACAAGTGTGAACGAGCCCTAAAACTACACTAGTCCTTTCATCTAATCTCTAAATAATCTCTTTCCTTATTTTAAAATGCTAGTATAAATGTAAGGTAGTGGTAAAAAAAAAAAAGGGATTTAAGATTTAATCTTTTTTTAAACATTAGTCCTTAGTATTTTGCATAACTGGAGGCATGGCGGGGGCATTTACTTTGCCTACATACTTTCTGCTAACAGGCATCCATTTTTCTCAATTCAGAAAGTTGGGAGGTATGTATTTGCATTACAAAGCAAATGACCTCCACAGCAATTAATAGGGACTGCTAGTCACATTCCTTGGTATACAGATGTCCATTAGAGGGAGCTATTCAAATAATAATAATAATTAACATAACAGCTTCAATTTCACCATATTGGTAACACAAATCATTAAAAAACACTACTTGGCATCTAGGAGATATATGTGCTTACCCTCTTTTTTACCAATAACTTTGTCACATTTTTTATTTTGTATTTTTCCTTTGCCTTCTAGTCCTGGGCCATCCATGTTTAAGCCAAACTTGAATCCGAGACATTCTTCCACCTCTGTATTAGTGACAGCTGCGATGGAAAAGAAAAATGTCACTGGATAGGTTAACCACTTCAAGTCCAGACACTTTCACCCCCTTCCCCCTTCCAAGCCAATTTTCAGCTCTCTGCGCTATCACATTTTGAGGGACAATTACTCGGTCATTCAACACTGAACCCAAAATAAATTTTTATCAACTTTTTTTAGACAAATAGAGCTTTCTTTTGGTGGTATTTGATCACCGCTAGGTTTTTAATTTTTTTGCTATATAAATGAAAAAATACTGAAAATTATGAAAAAAAATGTTTTTGCTTAGTTTTTATAATAGAATTTTGCAAATAAATATGTTTTCTTCATGAATTTAGGGCAAAATGTATTCAGTTAAATTTTTTTAGGAAAAAATAACCCAATACAGTGTATATTTTTTAGTCTGTGTGAAAGCTATAAGTCTAACAAACTATGCGATATATATTTGAACATTAATCAGTTGAGACAGTAAAATGCAAGATGCTGGTATGACGTATGGAAGTAATCAGGACACTAGTATGAGTATGGCGGTGATCAGGACATTAGCATGAGGTATGGCGGTGAGCAGAACACTGGTATGGCAGTGATCAGGACATTGGTATGGCATATGGGGTCATCAAGATGCTTTATGGGGTATGGTGGTGATCAGGATGCTGGTATGGTGTATGGCAGTGATCAGGGTGCTGGTTTGGCATATGGCAATGATCAGGGTGGTGGTATGGCATATGGCAATGATCAGGGTGGTGGCATGACATATGGCAATGATCAGGGTGGTGGTATAGCATATGGCAGTGATCAGGGTGCTGGTATGGGGTATGGCGGTGATCAGGGTGCTGGTATGGCATATGGCAGTGATCAGGGTGCTGGTATGGGGTATGGCGGTGATCAGGGTGCTGGTATGGCAGATGGCAATGATCAGGGTGGTGGTATGGCAGATGGCAATGATCAGGATGGTGGTATGGCAGATGGCAATGATCAGGGTGGTGGTATGGCATATGGCAGTGATCAGGGTGCTGGTAAGGGGTATGGCGGTGATCAGGCATATGGCAGTGATCAGGGTGGTGGTATGGCATATGGCAGTGATCAGGGTGGGTGATGGCATATGGCAGTGATCAGGGCGTTGATTTTGGGTATGGCAATGATCAAAACACAGTTATGGAGAGGAGCAGGACATTGGTATGGTGTATGGGAGTGTTTTTGTTCCCACTGGGACAAGTGATAGGGGCTGACTGCATTATTTATTATGTATATACTGGGGCAGTGATCAGGGACACTTACATGGGACACTATGGCTGGCTGACACTGCAGTCTGTGAGAGTACAAGCAGCCTGAAAGGCTGCAGGATTGCTTCTCTCTGCTCTCACACTGAAAGCAGAGAGAAGTGATCTTTAGTTTCACTTCCCAGTGTTTACAATGTGAGTGCTGTGATTGGACATGATAAAACACCATGTGATTGCCCGAACACAGCTGTAATGGGATCCGCTGTGTCTGGGCGATATACTGATCACCAGGTTCCTGGGTGCATGCTCTGTGGGCTGACATACAGGTACCTTAGCCTGCATTGGCAAAGCTTCCCGTCCGCCATCTTTAAACTAGGGGCGGACGGGAAGAGGTTAAAGCTGGCCAATGAAGTTCTGCTTCTAATCAGCTTGGTTATAATTTTCGACACATACATGTGTAGCCAGGTGCTTGGCTAAGAATGGAGAGAGAAACACTGAACTGGTTAAGAGCCCCGACAAGGGAGCTGCTGAACAGGAAGAGTTCAATAGACTCATGCACCACTGCACTGTGGGAATTGCAGTCCAGAGGAGAGACTCTACTGTACAGAACATTTGTACTGTATTTCCCAGAGAGAGAGATTGCCAGAAGGAGAGGAAAGAGCTGCATTTTACTGATTATACTGCCTAGTGGACTGTGTCTGAACCTGTCTAATGTATTCTCATTTATATTCAAATCACCATTTATTCTAACCTGTACCAATACATTCATTCACTACTAAACGGTCTTCTGTCTATATCCTGAAACTAATTCATGGTAGAGTTAAAGGTAATCACGCATGTGCTTGCAGTAACTTTAACTCAGCCAGGAGAGCTAGAGGGGCCGAGGTTGTTCTTGGAGTCAAGGTGCCAAACAGAGAACCCAAATTCCTAAACAGCTCCTTTTTCAGGTAGCGCTACAAATTATGTATGCTTTGCATATTCCTTAGCATTACTTACATAATTAGTCAGGCTGAAAAAAGACAAGTGTCCATCAAGCTCAAATGATAGGGGAAAAATTAAATTAAAAATAAATAAATTATATATATATATATTTTTTTTTATTTTTTCCAATTTTACATTATACAGACCCTTTGTTTGCATTGTTTTTCCATACATTCCTATACCATTCACAACTGTCCGAAAGAGCAAATTCTCCTGACTGAATGGTTGTAACCCCAAAAGTTTTAGTTCCAGATTAAACTTTCCCTAGTACATGTGCTTTACAAGAAATATCTTTTTTCCAGACTGGGGATCTCAGTAACAGTTAGAATTTTGGTCATTCAGATAACAAACAAGAATTTTCCAGTCTTTGTCTTAGATTTTTTTCCTGTTATGGTTGAAAATGATCATCAAATTCTGGCCGATTCAGCATGAACTGGCTGAAATTCGATGCATGTAATGACAGCTTTAGTAGTTTGGGGAGACCAGGCGAGCCTGCCAAATAAAGTCTCACTTCATCTGAGTTAATTCTGATCACTTACTATGGGTTACTGGATTTACAAATTAGCAACTAAAATGGCCACATACTTACAATCTGACAATAAACTCTGGATACAGTCAGCTTTAGATTCTACAACACCATTGAATTATGAAGGACTATGTAAATGATCCACTCAATGTTTTTCCAGCCACGTGGGCCTTTGCAATACTGTATGTACACTCACCTGCCACTTTATTAGGTACACCTGTTCAGTTTCTTGGTAACACAAATTGCTAATCACATGGCAGCAACTCAATGCATTTAGGCATCTAGATGTGGTGAAGGCAATTTGCTGAAGTTCAAACCGAGCATCAGAATGGGGAAGAAAGGGGATTTAAGTGGCTTTGAATGTGGCATGGTTGTTGGTGCCAGATGGACTGGTCTGAGTATTTAAAAAACTGTCGATCTACTGGGATTTTCATGCACAACCATCTCTAGGGTTTATAGAGAAACGGACTGAAAAAGAGAAAATATCCAGTGTGTGGACGAAAATGCCTTGTTGATGTCAGAGGTCAGAGTAGAATGGGCAGACTGGTTGCTGCAGCATTCAGATGGTATTGTCAGAATTTGACATAAACAACATGAAAGCATGGATCCATCCTGCCTTGTATCAGCATGGATCCATCCTGCCTTGTATCAATGGTTCAGGCTGGTGGTGTAATGGTGTGGGGGATATTTTATTAGGTGTACCTAATAATGCAGCCAGTGAGTATATGTGTTTTTACATTTAAAAGAGTACATCCAATCAGTTTCTAACTTCCAATGGTTTCTTTAAGGCCTGTCCACCATGGGAAATACTATGGTAATACGTGCGCCACAATTCACTTTAATGTGCATTCATTTTAAATGGGCCCCAAACACAGGAAAAGTTGATGCCAATATATAATTTTTTTGCAGTGCACTGCAACACACAATGGGGGACATTTATCAGGCAAATCAGCAACACAATTAGTTGCAAATCTTCTTCAGCAAAGTCCCTGAGGCAGGTTTACAGAACTGTGCATCTATATTCCTGGACAAACATTTGAAAAGTTTAAAGACAGATTTAATATTAAAGAGTCAAATTTACGCTCTAAGCAGATGCTTGACCAGGAAGTGGTCAGTGTCAGGATTCATATAGGTGGCGGTGCCCTGTATTGCAGTTACGTTTTGTTTGTTGGGTGCCATTTAAAGAAACATCACAATGTGAATGGTACCTTATTACACAGACATTTGGATTGCCCAAGTTCAGGATTACACTACAGAGCATGGAAGAGGGAGGCACATGCAGACACATTTCAAGCACTGGTTTATGCTGGGGTGCGCAACAGAGAGGACAAAGAGGACAAGAATTTTTAAACTATCCAAACACCAATTATCTTGAGCTCTTATGGCCATGTGCATATGTTTATAGCTAGGTTTAAAATTTACTCTTACCTTTAGTTTTCAAAAGCGTATTATCCAGTACATATACAAGATCATATTTGCCACCAATGTTTCCAGAGACTGAGTAATGAGTGCCATACATTTCCAAAAAGGCAAAATATTCTGCCTTGTCATAAAAAGATGGCAGGTTGTTCACATCATCGACAAAAATGAGGGACAAAACAAAACCCCGAGTCCTCATCTGAAATGTTGCCAGTTGTATATTTCCCATTATCCGCAGGAATGTTTTATTCTGTAAAGGAAAACAAATATTTTTCAATGGATTTTAAAAAACCACAAATAGTCCAGTAACAAACATAATGCTGGAGTGGAAGCATTTGATGCTGTATTTACATGGGTCATGGTTCTCCCATAGGCAAAACATGTTTATTCATTTTGGATAGTGTAAGGTAGGGTTATATTTTTTGTATTTTTTGCCATCTGTGTGTAGGCAGGAGTTAATAGTGTCCCCTATTTTTGGCTCCTCTTGGTTCTTCCTCAGGAAGTGGGGCCATTGCTGTGCCTTTCCTTGCAGGATCCTAAAACATTGGTAGGTGGCGCTTGGCTAGAGAGTGAGAGAAAGAGGCAACATCTTGGAGTAGAGAAGCTATGTTGGCCCTTATTGGGCCTTCCCAGGAGAGGGGCACCCCTGGAGTTGGGCTAGGTGCTGAAGTACAACCCAAAAAGAAGACTTTTGCTATGCCACTGAAGCTGGTTACAGCCTGATGCAATTGTTTGTTTTGTTATATTGCCTGTGAAGAGATGTTGTTTTTAGTATAACCTGCAAGCGCTGAATATACAGTATTAAGGTATGGACTTTGCCACTGGCTGGGGTGACATCATGATCACTGACACCTGTGTGAA